GAAACACTGTAGAGGGTCACTATGAACCAGTCTACGTATGGCAGTGGGTATTGGGTGTACTGCTCCCATTAAAACGTATAGGCTCGGAAACACTGCAGAGGGTCACTATGAACCAGTCTACGTGATAGCAGTGGGTTGGTTGCGTTTGGGTGATATTCACTATGCTTATTTTTCCTGTTTTCGCTTTTAAATGTGATTTCTTAATGCATCAAGTCACATGCCATAGTTTGGGAAAAACATTGCTTGAAGATCTAATTTTGGTTTAGTGTTTTATTTTGAGTTATACATATGAACATAACTAAAGAAATAGAAAACATTTATGGAAAACCTGAAGGGATGACATTTTGTAGGAAAACTGACAATTTCCTTGCAGTGGGAGAGTATTTTGATTCTATATAAAGAACTTAGTAACACCCAGAGCCACAAATTGGTGTGTGCTGCTTGAAACAGTTCAATTTATCTGGAGAGATGAAATGGAACTAATTTTTAAAAGGCCAAGCCATTGCCATTAAGTTGATTCTGACTCATGACGACCTGACACGTGTCACAGTAGACCGGGACTCCGTCTAGTTTCCAATGACCGTCTTGTTTTGCTGTTTACTAGGTCAACAGCATTTCTTCCTAGGCGCCTCTGGACAGACTCACAGCCTCTGGACAGACTCACAGCTACCTTTGGCGCGCCTCGTCTAGCTCTACGGAGGGACTCTCCCAGTACAGAGAACGTGGGCACACTGGGGTAGACGGTTGTAGTAACTTCCATAAAAGGCTCTTCTACTTCTAATGTCTTCAGTCCATGAAATCTGCCCAGATTTTTTGGTTGTTGAATTTATTTGGTTCACTAGAATTTTTTTTAAATCAGATGTTTTGCCCAATTTTTTGTTTTAAGAGAATTTGGTCAGTGGACTCATATGGTATGTGTAAGACTTGTATGACTCCAAATCGAATGATGACTAAGTTGTCTTGATACTTAGCTGCATTGACGTTACCTGTGTATGGTGCGAATGAAGAGAGTAGAGAAGAAAACAGTGGCAGTTAATGTTTAGTCTACGTTGTAAGAGATTTAAAAATCATTAAGCCATCTTATGCAAAAACCAAACTCATTGTCATGAGGGGATCAGTGGTCCTGAGTCGATAAGTAGATCTGTCCGCGCAGGGTTTCCAAGCGTACATCTTTATAGGAACAGACTGCCTGCTCCTTCTCCCTCGGAGCAGCTACTGAGTTCCAACCAATGATGGCCAGGATAGCTGCAGAGCACTGAACCACCAGCGCTCCTTTTTGATATCAAACCATCGGAATTTCTCATGTCAGTGTAACATTCGACTGTTCTTTGGTCCTTCCTGACATTTTGCAGAATCTAAGAGTAAAGAAACGGTTTCAAAGAAAGACTACTCTGAAATTATTTTAGCTTCCTGAGTTGATGGATTCACCAGGAAAGCTTTAGTAAGCAAATGAACCAAACTTCCAAGGGGAAAATTTGTAGAAGTCTCAATGATTGGAGCCCAAAAAACGCTCCTGATAGAATTGCTGAACTCTAATCCATGGTATTGCTTCAACTCTTAGTAAGTTTAAAATAATACTGACATGATTCTGCCTGTAAGGACTATGAGATAATTTTATCTCCTGGCTTACATTTGATCATAAACACACTTTCCTTAAAGATGCAGAGCTTGCCGTTTGAGTTCAAAGGGGTTATTATGGGTAACCAGGAGGAAAATGAGACTTGCTACTCATGTAAAAAATCATAGTCTCAGAACCCCCCCGGCCAGTGCTGCTCTGTCCTACCGGATTGCTATGAATCAGAATGGACAGGATGACCGGCGTTTGATTATGATTATTTACAGTCCAGCTTTGTGGATTGTAAATCCTGACATAGATGACCACGTGTCTCTTAAATTGATAAATCAGTTGTCCCTTGTAATTTTCTGTACTGAGATAAAAGCAGTGAAATGCCTCAGTTTTCATCAAATGCAATCATAGTCTGCATAGTGAGGCCCAGATAGTTGTGGCTGTTAGGAACGTGCCTTTCATAATGCAGGGGCTTGCTTCTAGTTACTTAGTTCTTTTTGACTGATTGCCCACAGAATGCAAAGCACCATGCCCCCCCCTTTTTTTTTCTTTTTAGCACCATGCCCTTTTAAAGCAATGATTTCAACGTACGTAGTCCCTGTTGGCTTAGTGGGTTATCCATTGGGCTGCTAACAGTAAGGTCAGGAGTTCAAAACCACCAGCCCGCTCAGCGGGAGAAAGAAAAGACTCCCTACTCCTATAGAAAATTGCAGTCGCAGCTACCCACAGGGGCCGCTCCACTCTGTCCTACAGGGCTGCTTTTAAGTCGGAATCAACTTGATGGCAGTGAGTTTGGTTTGGGTTTAGATTTAAACCGATAGTGTTGGCCCATTGGTAGCCAGCGATCAATTTCGTGACCCTTGGGGCAGCAGCGTATTTTTTCTTAGTAAGTAGAATAGAAACCATCAGAGTGGCTGATGTGTACGAGGGCTCTGCAAAAAGTTCATGGGCAATTGGAATGAAAGGATACTGGAATTTTCCCAGGAACTTTTTTAAGGTCCCTAATAATGAATGGAAATAACATTTTGTGAAGGTTTTGTCTCATTTTATATGAATTATGTGTGCCTGTGTGCGTATAGGTGCATTTTGTGGATGTGAATCTGTCTTTGGACTACTGTTAAATGAGTTTCCAATATACTGCTAAGAGATGTAAAGTTTGAAAAGCACTCTTAATTTACAACTTACTATAATGTTGGTGGGAAAAAACACACCTGTTTATTTAGATAAGAACCCATTAAAGACAGCTTTAAGGTGTACCTGAGTGTTGGGAGTGACCAATGGACTGACATCATTATGCAAGTCGATTGCTGCCAGTCCTGTCTCTGCTTGTGGGACTCAGACCTCACGCGCACTTGGGGTTCTTGTTAGAATGCAAGTTCCTGCTGCCCTGAGTGAGGGAGTTGGCAGGTGTAGGATGAGGTTTACAAGTTTGAATTTTTAATAAACTCCACAGGATGTAGGAACTCCTCTGGCTTTAATTATTGAATCATTTGAGGAGTTTAGCGTAGTGGTTAACGTAAGTGCTAGTCTAACTTCCTTGGCTTGACTCAAGTTCCTCCATTTATACACTCTCTACCATTAGAGCAGTGGTTCTCAGCCTTCCTAATGCCTCGGTCCTTTAATACAGTTCCTCATGTTGTGGTGACCCCGACCATAACATTATTTTCATTGCTACTTCATAACCGTAATTTTGCTGCTATTATGAATCATAATGTAAATATCTGATACGCAGGATATATTTTCATGGTTACAAATTGAACATAATTAAACATAATTAAAGCATAGTGATTAATCACAAAACAATATGCTATTACATATTGTGAAATATTTGTGTGTTTTCCGATGATCTTAGGCAACCCCTGTGAAAGGGTGGTACGACCCCCCCAAAGGGGTCACGACCCATAGGTTGAGAACCGCTGCCTTAGAGGAAAAGTTATTTAACCTTCCTGTGCCTTACTCTCCCCATGAATGAATTAGTATTCGCCTTATCCGTGGATTAGTGAAAAGACCCTGTGCTTTATTTTTACAGAACAAAAGCCCTGTTCTCGACAAATGTTTTGTCCCTTTATGAATGCTTTTGTGTCTCAAATGTTTATGTACTTGAAATTTTCATTCTACAGAAACACTTTCAAAATAATTCAGATAGTATTTTAGTTAAGAGCGAAGAATAAGATAAAAAGGCAATCTTGACTTTATATTGAAAGAAACAAAAACCTTGTCGCATTAAAATGTTGCCTTGTATGGGATTTTCTATTTTCGATTCTCTTTCCTACTCAGCAAATTAGCACATTGTATTGTAGAGAAAAGTGTAAAAAATGTGCCAGCTTCAAAATGCATTCTTTCTGCAGCTTCGAGATTGTATCCAGAAGACCTTGAATGAGTGGAGTTCCCAAATCAGCCCAGACCTGGTCAGGGTAAGTGACGTGGGAGTGCAGAAGCTGCATAGGTGGAAAGTAGGAGCTGGAGTTAACTCCCAATTCCATCCACTGCCTCAGCCTGCTGCTATTGGGTCCGCGTCGAACTCACGGTAACCCCATAGCGCAGAGTACAACTACTAAGGTTTTCAAGACTGCAAATCATTGTAGAACAGACAGCCTCACCTTTCTCCTGCAGTAACTGGTCGGCTTGACCTGCTGAGTCCGTGCTGGGCAGCCCAGTACTCAGCCTCTGGGCCACTGGGCCCCTTTCTGTTTTGATCAGGAAGTCAAGTAGGCAATGGCCTAAGAGTGTCTGTGGCTGATGTGGAGGAGATGGCTGCCGTTGAACTTGACACAATTCTGGGGTTCTCCCTGCTTACTTCCAGCCCACGTCCCTCACCCCAAGTGCTTCCTTCGCTCCCGTTCCTGTGTGGTTGGTAAACTGCTCTGCTAGAAAATCGCCCCCTTACATAGGCACTAGAAATAATATTTTCAATGTCAGTTTCTGGTAAAACAATAGAGAACTGTGTTTCTTCAAATATTACTCTAGGGCTACCACACAAAGCACCTATCTGTAAACCACTTTTTTAGACTCCATCTCAGCCAAGAGCCCATGGCAGATTACATAGACGGCTTTAAAGGTACAGAAGGAAGCATGCTGCCCACTGCTAATTCGTAATCACAGCCACTAGGCAGACTTTGGTTGATGGAGTCTACCAGTCTTCCCGTCTCTGAAATTACCATTTGCTCTCTGCCTGACTTGTAAACATGTATAAATGTGTGTAAAAGTCTAGGAAAGGTGTTTACTTTCTCTTAATGTTGCAAGCATAAAGTAGTAAGTTTCTGATTTATATATGCTACCATTTTATTATTGTGAACTATTCATGAAATGCATGGGATTGAATGGCCTTCACATATTTTTTATTGCACTCAGGAAAAATTGTCAGAAAATGTTTATAATTGATGTAGACATTTTTCACATCACTACCCAGAATGGATTATATTTATTTTATTGCTTTTCTAAATAAAATCTTCGATTGTAAGAGTGCGTCTCCTTCCGAATGCCTGAGTAAAGCAAAACACTTTTCCCAGAAAATGGGCACATGCATGACATTTTACTCTTATCCCAGGGCTTTCGATCTTTGTGACAGGACGCTCAATGTGGCCCTTAGGTGAAAACCCTGCTGTCTTAAAGGCTCCGTGCTTCCAAAGTGAAGGGGTTTGTTGATAATAGAAAATGGTACAGCTAATCAGAAACATTTAATTAGATATTTATCCCTAATATGTGTTTATTACAGGAGTTTCCAGATGTGCTGGAATGTACGGTGTCACATGCCATAGAAAAGATAAACCCGGATGAAAGAGAAGAAATGAAAGTTTCTGGTAAAGTCTAGCTTTTATGGTTTGTGTTGGTCCACAGTGGAAGGGTACCATGAGGTCTTGTCAGGCATGCGGCTATGCCTTTCCCTGCCTCAGGTAGTGAGTGACTCCCATCACCAATAAGTATAAACACTCCTTTTTTGAATTTAATATTGCTGTCTTAAGTAGGGTTTGTAGGAGAAGGTCAGGGGTAGATACTTCAGTGGAGTCAGACTAGAACTTTAACTAGCTGTCATTAACTTGTGTGGCAGACTTCCAAGTAATGAAAGGTTTAAAGCAAAGGAAATGGGAGAGATAAAGGGAAAGCTTGAGAGCAGTGTCCACCCAAAGCAAACATGAGCACTTGCTTCCTGGACACTGGTAGCCCGTGACTGAGGTCCCTGCGTGGCAGAAGTCTGGGCACCAGGTTGCACGGAGAGAAAACTAGAAAGCATGTTCTCCTGTTCTCCAAATGTATCAATTGACCGCTCCAAGCTAGAAACTGTGTTAGGCTCAGGAATACAGAAAGTAACAGATGGGCTGTTCTTGCCAGCAGCTTGCGGTAAGCACTGTGTAGTCATTTAAAGCTTGAGTTCTTGGCTCAGACTAACTAGATTGGGATTCCGGGTGTGCAAATTACTGGCTGATACATTCTTGGACTGAAAGGTATTTTGACCTCTCTGAGCTGCTTTCCTCATTTATATAATGGGCATACACCTTTTATATAGGAAATAAGTATTCCACAGGCGTCTTCGTAATCTCTCCCTGCTACTGAGTGGAGTCCAACTCAGAATGACTCTGTAGGGCAGCATAGAGCCCCCTGTAAGTTTCCCAGACTGCAGCTCTTCACAGGAATAGAAGGCCGCCTCTTTCTCCTGAGAAGCAACCTTATACACAACAGAATGAAATACGCCTGGTGCTGTGCCATGCTCACAGTTGTTGTTATATATAATACTATGTTGTAATGTATAATAATAGCTACCATATATTGAGGCTTGGCTTGTGCCAGGCACTGTACTTGGCACTTTATGGTTATGTTGCCTTGTATCATCCCCAAAACAGTATTGCAGAATTTGTACAGGTGACATTAAAGAAGTTAAAAGTAGCTACACAGCTAGAGAATAAGTGGTTGAACCAGGAGTGCAGGTTTGCCTGGCCCCTGGCCCCAAAACAAATCCTGTCTGTTGTTGATTGCAATTCATCATGGTTTAGATCTTCGATCTCTAGCATCTCTGAGTTCTGCTAGACCTTGAGATTTTTGACAGGCCTCAGAAAAGCTTTTGTCTCTCTGCACATCTAAACATACCTCGTCTTTCAGAGAGAGGGGCCGTTCAGATGGAACACATTCATGATCAGAGGAGCGGCGAGGCAAAGAGTTTTCACAGAGCATAATTATGGGAACTGAGGCTGGGCCCAAAGCTGTGGTGTGGTCGGCCGTGACAGATTGTGAATAGCAAAGCAGTGTGAGGAGAGCGGTGTTTAAGGAGAGTTGTGTGGGACTCAATTGTAAGAGACAAATTTAAGACACAAAAATGTTGTTGGATACCAGGCAGGTTACAGAAAAGTATTTCCTTACCCCATTTTCTTTTCTCATTTTCACTATTCTTGGTCTACTGCTTTTCTGTTGGTCTGTTGAATAGACTTTTGAACAGTTTGTTTACATAAAGTTTACATATATATTTTTTCAGTCACAAAGATAGACAAGTACAGGCAGTCCTAGTAATGAACAAGATCCACTCCAAAATGCCCTCAGGTCGAATTTGTGAGTTACCCCGAACAGGTGCACGCAGCTCTGATTTATCCTTACTTTGATGCGAGAAAAGGCTTGGGGAGTTTTCAATGATTTAAAAGTTGTAGGTGCAGCAAGTGAGAATGATTGTGATAAAGAATTTGTTGGGAGCGGGTTGGTTCATTTCACCAAACCAAAAACTCACTGCCATCAAGTTGATTCCAACTCATATAGGACAGGGTAGAACTGCTTCTGTGGGTTTCTAAGACTGTAACCTCATCTTTCTCCTTCCGAGCGGCTGGTGGTTTCAAAATTGCTAACCTTGTGGTTAGCAGCCCAACATGTAACCCACTACACCACCAGAGCTCCTAATAATTTTATAGTGAAGTCAAATTTACCTAAATTTAAAGAGCAAGTACTCGTTATATATACTTAACCGTAACCTGAACACTTATTGTTTTGAACTTCCATGGTAACCTAACAATGCCAGTGAATGGGATCCAGAATAGGTATAAACTGTATCAACAAAACTAGCAAATACAGATGTATTTTCATAATAGCATCCTATTGTTAGAAGAGCAATTCTTGGCTGGTGGTGGCCTGGGAAATTGGAGCAAATGTTCTATAAAGAAGGTCGGTAAATCAAATAGAGCCAGATTCACAAAAACAGATCCTACCTTTTGACTCTTAATCTCATTGCTGCTAAGTTATCTTTGGGAAGTGAGTCACAAAGTTGAACAAAAAGTTACCACAATAAATAACATGCGATAACAAAAAATAACAGCACTAACCTAAGTGTTCAATTAACAGAAAATCATTTAGAAAATTATATCTGCAAAAATTGCAGAATACTGCTCACCCATTAAAAGCGAGTATATAAAAGTGTAGTTTAAAAACAAGGAATACACAAAAGGTAAACAACTGCTTGGGTGATCTTTATAGTTGGCGCATTATTTGATGATTTTAAAGAACTAAGATAAGTAAATGCACAGATACGTATATTTTTAACTGATTGCATGATGCCTTCAGAGTGGCACTTGCCCTTGGCCTGTAGACTGAAGCCAAGCCTTGACGGTGGTGAGGCAGACAGCACTTCCCTGTCTCCGCATGAGCCGTCTCCGTAAGGAAGACTTCATTACATGAAGGAGAGTCCTAAAAGGAATGCGGGTACTTCTGGGATGAAGTGGAGCATCTGAGAATGATAGCATCAGCAAATTAAAGGCTGCAACACTGTACGTCAGACACATTGCTCACTATAAATCAACAAGTAAAGGACAAAAGCTAAAGTTATTTCATAAAGTTAAACCAAATAGAAGTAGAAAAGTACATACTAGGCTTCAGAGATTTTGTAAACTGAGAGAAAGGTGGAGTTATGCATTCTTATTTTTAAATTTTCTTCTCAATATAATTTTAATCAAAGCTTTGCGTACATTTTAATTTATTGGAAAAGGAATATGTTTGCTCTTTGATCTATTGACGTTTGCATCACAGATAATCTAAGCTCTTTGTGCACACATGAACTTCTAATGAGTAGATGGTTGATGTCTGCTTTTGAAAAACAGATGTTTGTCAACGACTAGCATATAACTAAAGAGTTGAAATGACTACATTTATGTCATAAAATAAAAATAATCTAACCCAGAACTGATGAGCTTATAGAGACAGCAAGTAGAATAAGGGTTTCGGGGGCGGGGGGCGGGAAGCTACAGTTGGGATGGGGGTAAAAGAGAGCTGATGTCAAGGAGTTTAAGAAGGAAGAGACTGTTTTGAAACTGATTATCGTACAATACTGCTTGATGTGATTGAACCATGGAATAATATGATACCTGTATGAGCTCTAATAAAATAAAATGATAAAACCGGGGGGAGGGGAATCTATGAAATTATGCAAGTAGGAAAGGATAAACAACCCCCCAAGACTAACAGGGGAGCATTTGTCCGGGAATAAAACTCAGAAGGCAGGAAGAAAAGAAGGACAAGTGGAAACTAAACCCAGGGAGGAGGTGGGAAGAGGGCCATTAGAACATTACTATCTATCAGCAGTGCTCCGGTTTCCTTAGGCATAAAGGTATAACCGTGAAAATCGTACTGTACAGCATTGGAAAAAGCTTAAAGTTACTGCCAGAAGTAACTGCCGCAAGTCAATCCTGACTCATGGAGACTGTGCCTGTGGTTTCCAGGACTAACTCTTTATGGGAGTAGAAAGCCTCATCTTCCCCCCTTGGAGCCTCTGGTGATTTTGAACTGCTAACCTTGAAATTAGCTGCCCAACTTGTAACTATTCCATGCCACCAGGTTCCTTTTGTTTAAAAAAAAGAGAGAGAGAGACAAATTAATTTCTTTATTTAAAAAAAAAGAAAAAGGCCACAAGGAAGAAGAAAATCTCAAATTCAGTCTTACGACTGTGACTCTGAAGACCATGATCTCTGTGTGTGATATAAACAAGTCTTCTGTGCTATATATGTTTTTCTCTTTAATATTTTAAATTTAAAATGTTTGTATATTTCAAGGACTCTTAGCTCATTCATATGCTGACCATTTAATTAAATAAAGAGAAACTATTTATTAGAACGAAAAGAAAAATAATTAATTCAGGATTATCTGTCATCTTAGTATTTTAGCTATGTTGATACTCATATTTGGTACTTAAGTGTGCTCTCAAATATAGAACCAATAATCAGTCTTGTTTTCTTTGTTATCCAGCCAAACTATTCATTGTAGGATCAAACTCTTCATCATCAACTAAAAATGCAATTGACATGGGTAAGCCAACATTTAACTTTTTATCTTAGTACCTTCCTACCCTACCCACTGCCATCGAGTTGATGCCAAGTCACTATCATGCTATAGAACAGAGTAGAACTGTCCCAGAGCGTTTCCCAGGCACGGATCTGCATGGAAGCAGACAGGTGGGCTTAAACCACCAACCTTCTGGTTAGCAGCCAAGTGCTTAACTTTAGCCACTGCACCACCAGGGAACCTCAGCTCCTAAGACGTGGACTTTAGATTAGTGCAGGTGAATGTGAAAGTTAGAACTTGCGTCTAAAGGAAAAAGAAAATGGGCAAAACTACAAAGACAATAAAAACACCAGACGCAAGGAGGGGAGGAGAGACAAATAAGTGAAACAGAGAAGTATTTTTAAGGCAGAGAAACTAATCTGCATGGTACTCAAATGGTGGACACGTGCCATGCGTTTCTCAAAACCAGTGTGACTGTGCAGCAGAGCATGAGCTGGCATGGGAATGGGTTGGTTCATTTCACCGGGTTGACTAGAGAAACAAGTCCAGTGACGCTCGTATGTATACGAAAGAACCGTATATCAAGAAGTGACTATATATCAAGAAAACACCCCAGCCCAGTCCACCTCAAGTCCCTATGTCCAATACTAGTCCAGAAGCCCCTCTTCAGACTCACGCAGCCACATGCAATGATGCAGAATGCAGGAGGATCACAGGCCAGTCAGGCAACGTGGTGTGGCAGTGGAAAGCATGGCAGGGCTCCAGCAGCTCTCAGGGTGGCCTGCAGGCAGGAAAGTCAAGGCAGAGAGGCAGCCCTACCTCCAGAGAGTCAAAAATCTTAGTTGCACCTCCAAGTGAGGTCATCAGGCTGCGATCTGATTGACAGGCTAAACTCGACCCCTACACTTTTACATACAAGTTGACATGGAATCATATAACCACAGCTCAAGGGAACCTTGGGCTTTCATTAATACTTCTCAATATTAGTCTGTCATTTGTAGCAAGTGTACCACATCAGTGAGAAGTGTTCATTGTAGGACAGCCATGTGTGAGGGAACCAGATGTATATGGGAAATCTGTACTTTGTGCACAATTTTCTGCCAACCTAAAACTCCAAGAAAAAACATTTTTATGAAATGAGCTGGGGGGAAATGAAAATGAGTTCATTCCAATTAGACCATTCATTCAGAGTTATAGCCTAATTTTTAAGTCTCCTATCAAATTAGATTTGAATGATGTAGGATCATACATATCTAATATACCAGAGGAGTGTAGGAAGTGTAATGTGAAACAGAAGAAGGAAACCCTCCCAGCGATCGACCGCGTCGGTTCTGACTTGGAGCAGCCCCATCAGACGGTAGAACTGCCCTGTGAGCGTGAGAGGACTCTAAGGGGAGAGGGCCCTTCTTCCCTGTAACACATAACTGCTCATTGCATTTCCGTGATGCAAGTCCCCAGACCATATTCTCAGCCTTTAATTTCAGTGCTCTAAGTGAAATGCCTGCCCCCAAAAGGAAGCGTTTTCTGGCTTTCTTCTTTTTTAGCAATTATATTACTGTGATATTATAGTTATTTAAAATGTTTCTTTCAAACATTCACACAGTGTTTATTAGGGGACTTTAAAATGTTCATGGGAAAGATGGAGTTCAAAGAGGAATTTTTCATGAACTTTTTGAAGCCCGCTAATATGGGGTGATTGATAATGATTTAAAACAAGTTCGTAAATTGTTTTTTAAAGATATGAAGAAATATACCTCTATAACTATAGATAAAGACCATACACTTCAGCTTTTCAGATTCTCAAGTTTATTCTTTGTGGTATTAGGTACAAAATCTTAGGTTAGAATGCTTCTGATCATCCATATGAGATACTAGTGAGCAAGGAGAACTGGAGGGAAAATTATGGAGCAAGCTGCCCTAAAATCACCGTGGGCCTTAGGAACAAACCCATTCCCTGACCCTGTGGGACAGCGTAGAGCTGCCTGCCCTCGGGGGTTTCCGAGGTTGTATATCTGTGCAGGCGCAGAAATCCTCATCCTTCTCCTGGGAAATGACTTGTGCCTTTGAACAGTTGACCTTGTGGTTAGTAGCCCAACATGTAACCTGCTGGGCCATCAAGGCTTTTTTAGGGACCTAAGAGGAAGCTTTTTCCCAGAAAGAAAAGTCTGCAATAGCTGTGAGTTCCCTAAGCAGAAGGCAGGTCATAGAATCCGTTTATCTGCCTCACTGAGCAGGTAGATGATTGGGTACTTAAAATTTTTTAAACAAGGCAAAGAGAGGTTCTAGATGAAAATTAAATCATGAAACTGAATTAAGTACTTTGTTGTATAGAAAACCAATGAGTGATTGGATAGCGTTCAGTGGGACGCTTTGGAGACGTTTGGAAGGATACTTGAAAGACCACAAAGTATCCCTTTGTCTTCATTATATGACACGTTTATCCCTTTTCTGTTTCCTTTCATGTCAGCCTGTTCAGTCTTGGGAGTTGCACACCTGGATTCTGTCATCATTGCTTCACCTCCTATTGAAGATGGTGTTCATCTCTCCCTGGAGCATTTGCAGCCTTACTGGGAGGAATTAGAAAACTTAGTTCAAAGCAAAAAGATTGTTGCTATAGGTACCTCTGATCTAGACAAAACACAGTTGGAGCAGCTATACCAGTGGGCACAGGTAAAGGGCAGCCAGATCCTGAGCTCTCTGGGAAAGGAGCTTGCCTCCACGGGCTCATTGTGTATACACTCACTGTGGGGGCATGGTCCAAATGGGGAGCTTTGGACACAGTACTTTATCTAAAGTACTAAGTGTGTTCTTGTTCTTTTTAAGAAAATATACCTAATTGAATTTGATATTAGTCTCATTTAAAATGAGTGATCAAACCATAGTTATATGAATGGACTTTTATTGTGGCCCTAATTCAAGAACAATTGGATCTTGTGGCATGGCCCTACCTGATACTTGCCCTCACGAGGTGATCACTGAAGATAGGGGTGCCATAGCAAATATCGGTGAAGAAATCAGAGTCCCTACCTATCATGAAGAATATGGTAACATCTAGAGACTTAACAGCTTGTCTCAAAACAAGCAGCTATCTAAGTGAGCGTTCTGCTAAGTCCACACAAAAGAAGCACACCTCTTCTGTGAGCCAAGGATTGTAAATATAAGGTCCAAACTGGGAGGAGGGAATAGTATCAATGCCAGGATTCTAAGTTCCCGGTTTGCGGAATGCATTGGATGCTAGTGCTGATAGTCCCAAATCCACAAGGGTCCATACTTGCATTGAGTCCTTGATGAGTCCCCAGTAAGAACATGAACATCGGTCCTAATACCAGACAAAGAGTGTTGTACAGTGGATTTTAGCAGCTGAACTTTAAGCTGCAATGTGACACCTTGACATTAGGTCTCCCTTTGGACCCATTGTGAATTTATTCCAAATTCTCGAGTTCTTAGATTGAGCTCTTTCTGAGTTTTATACGGTCATGGTTGCTGGGTCCTCATTTGTTGTTTGCTCTTGTTTGATGTTTCTCTGGATAGAGAAACCCGGATAGGGGATTTATGAGGAGAGTAGCTGGATTAATGATTGCCTGGGGCATGGAGCGGGAGAGTGGGGGCCCACAGTCAGTGTTCACTGACGCAGCAGTCAAGAGATCAAACAGTGCATTTAGGTTACGTCTGCTGCACAAAACCTCTGAAAGGTGTTGAAAAGCAAAGATGTTACTTTATGGACTAAGATGTGTCTGTCCCAAGCCATGGTATTTTCAGTCACTTCATATACAGGTGAAAGTTGGATATTGATTAAAGACCATCAAAGAAGAATATGCATTTGAATTATGTTACTGCAAAGACTATTGAAAGTATCGTGGGTTGCCAAAAGAACCAACACATCTGTCTTACAGCCAGAATGCTCTTCAGAAGCAAGCTTAGCAAGGCTTCATTTCACAGACTTCAGACGTGCAATCAGGAGAGACAAGTCTCTGGGAAAGGACATCATGCTTGGCCAAGCAGAGGGGCAGAGGGAGAAAACGCAGATAGGATGGATTGACCTTGCAGCCGAAGCGTAAGGATGCTGCCGGCCGAGCAGTGTTCGTCTCCTGTAGACACAGGTCGCGGAGTCAGAGCAGACTCGGTAGCACCTAAAAATGACAACCACAGACCCGATTCAACTACTGGATTTAACTACATAAATGAGCCAGATGAATAACCATGTTTTTAATGGTTTACATGTGCTGATCACATGTATGCAACCCTCTGTTTTCAAGATAGGCATTGCCTCTAGCTGGAGCCGTCACACTTAGAAACGAGTTTGTTTCCAGGCAAATGTATTAGATTGACAAATGGTTCCAGCAGAAGGCTTTTTTAACAGCATAGCACCGAATTGGCTTTCGCCCCATTCTTAGAACTCTTTTTCCTTTCTCTGCTACCACTGATGCGTTAGAAAAGCATACATCTTTCGACACAACCGCTGAAGACAAAGCAGGTGACTAAGCAAATGTGGTGAAGAAAGCTGATGGTGCCCGGCTATCAAAAGATATAGCGTCTGGGGTCTTAAAAGCTTGAAGGTAAACAA